CATTATTTGTCTATTTGAATACATTAACCATGAAATCAAATACTAAAACAAATTTTAGGGCTAAATAAATTACACGTTTTGCTTAATATCTTCAAAACAGCAAATTGTCAGTTATGCTCTTTTGCCATGGGAGGGCAGTCTAAGTTTAGGCTAGCCTAGCCCAAGACCTTGTTCTTGTTGCTAATCCCGCCCCACATAGGCCTATGCTCCCGTAATCGCCGTACCCTTGAGCGTTAGAGACGCGTTCGGAAGCACTGTTCATGGCATTAGACACAGCGAAAATTGTTTCCTCCATCATTAATTGAATGGCTAGTTTTCATTTACATTTCACATGTCTGTCGTTGTAAATGTAAATCAAACCAGTCATACTTGGGTGCTTTTTGATTTACATTTTAAAACAGAATTTTGAGAGTTCGTTTGATCAACTCAGACCCACGTTTTGAAATTTGAATTACATTTTGGATAATTAGAACTTCGTTTTGGGAAACTAGACCTACATTTTGAGAAATCAGACCATATGTTTTTTTTTTTATAAATTAGACATTGAACTTTGCAATTACGCTTTTCAATTACGCTCATACATAGGGACATACCTTGTCAATATCATCTGGTGTTACCACTGTGATGATTTTGGTCAAGAAGTCAATCATCATACGTAGGTTTGTAATCACCGTGTTCTTCAACTTCTCGTTTGTTTTAGAGTAGAGAACTATTCCAGTGTCATTTAGATAATCAAGGACAGTGGTGAGCGTGCTTTTCGAAATTCCACACTCTGTGGCAACACTGGTGATCTATAGAAATGTATGATAAATTATAAATGATTTGTATGATACATTTTTCAACCAACAAATTAGGCGATAAAAATAATCATAGAAATAGCGCCAAAACATTAAAAGCATATAATAAGTTACGAATTAGTATACATTAAAACAATGGACACACAGAGGCGTACTTTAAAATAATGAACAATATGATTAAATTCTTTAATTTCAATATCACCTATCTTTGTCTTGCGTTTTTAGTATTTTAAACGATGCTGTATGTTAAAAGACGACATTCGTCGTGCAAAGTGAATTTAAATTGATTTGGTATTTATAAATCATGCTCACTACTTTGTGCCACTGACCATTGTACAGTGTCTATAAATGCTTTGTTAATTGACTGATTGAATTATAAGCATACGATTTACAAGCAAACGTTGGCGAGCAGGCCTACGTTTTTATTTTCATAAATGAATTAAGTTAGCATCGAACCTCATCCAAAGACACCCGCAGCCTTGTTTTACCAAGCTCTTGTACTTTGGACTGGAAATCAACCCAGCTTGTTGGTACAGTTCTTGCCATTGCTTTCATGTATCCTCCGACGTTCTTTTTCAATGTCTCAATCCCTTCATCCATTTTTGCAGTGTTATCAACGGCGTATATCGTTCTGTCAACGTGAGTTTCGTAAGCTGTTCCTTTGATTGCATCAAATATTGTGTGGAACATGGTGTTGATCTTTGAAAAGATTTAATACTGTACAATATATATTGGTAGATAGATAATCTTTATTGTTGTCATATTTTTTTTTAAATCATAAAAATCAATAATAATAATAATAATAATAATAATAATAATAATAATAATAATAATAATAATAAGTATAGACTGATATAGCACTTTATGACAACAAGCCTCTAAGCGCTTTACATTATATCTCCTGGTCATTGGATCTCAGTCGATACGTCAGTTATATCATTGTCATGAAAAAAGAAGGCAAGTTGACCAGACAAAATTGTGTCGAATTCCTCGTAGTTAAATTTTGTTAAAAGATCGGAATTCCAAGGTCCTTAGTGATAAATCAGGGCGACTTAGAGTTACCTCCGAATGGTGATTCTCATCGACGTCATAGCTAACAATGTTTTTTTTTTCATCTATTTAGATTTCATTCCTTCAAATCTATACAAAAAACTATTAAAAAAATAAAACAAAAAAATTATATATTGTACATTAAATTACAGATTTCAAATTAATACTGTTATATAATAAAATTAATAAAAGGAAATCTTACTCGTGTTTCTGCCTCACTCTTCGACAATTGGTCTTTGTGAGTTGCAATCAAACTGATTGGGGGTGAGGATATTTCGGCGTTGAAGAAAATTGTCTTCTTTTCCATATTTGGTAGAACAGCATGTTCAAATATTGAACGCATCCAGAATAGAATCATCTGTAAGTTAGTCATTGACAATTCCCCCTGAAAATTAAAGAAAAAGAAATAGCTTATTTTACGAAAAAGAATTTGCTATAAACAATAATAAATAAAAAAAAATCATTTATTTATTTATTTTTTATTTATTAAATCACTTGTTGTATAATCTTATTTACAAAGCTTAATTACAACGTAAGAATTCGAAAGAAGATTTAAATGGTTTGCTTACTTTATGTAAATCTCTTGTTTTAATCAAATCATTCAAATCATCTAGCAAACTGAAGACAACCCCGTATGACGCTCCACCTGTCAAGTATATCTAAAATAAAAAATTTATGATTACGAACATTCACAAATTTAATTTTATAATAATAAAAATAATAATAATAATAATAATAATAATAATAATAATAATAATAATAATAATAATTATTATTATTATTATTATTATTATTATTATTATTATTATTATTATTATTATTATTATTATTATTATTATTATTTTTGGGACTTCATCCAGGAACTCTTGTTGGTTATAATGAATATATTATTGTTATTATTATTATTATTATTATTATTATTATTATTATTATTATTATTATTATTACCATAAGACGTGAATATTTTATAATTTGGCATTATACAGAATTCAGCATAGCCTACCCGATGAGTTATGTAGTACTTTAACTGCCCAGCATAGTCCCATATGGATGTTACTTCACTTGGACCAACGTTGCTAGTTCCCTGGTCAGCAAGTCTATTAACCACCATTTTATGAAGTCTGTCTGGTAGTGTCTTTTCAAATGTATTATGGCTTCTCGTGGACTGATGCGTTGATAAACTTCCATCACCTTGAGGTTCCTGAGAATTTCCTGAAAAATTAAGAAATAAAAGTAAAATTAGCGAGAGTTAAACACAACGGTAGTCTAAATTTATGATGATTAATTATGTTGAATTATGATGATGACGAATGTGATAGGGGAGATAATAATGATGATTTCTTGAATCTTTGCTTTGACCTGCTGTATTTTTTTCTTGGTTGTTTTTCTCTTGTATGTTTGTCCTGTGTGGCCTTCGCCTTTTATGGTTTCTCCATATTTGTATATTTTGCATAGAGTTTTATATTTATATACTGTATTTTACATTGTTTCTTACCTGTAAGTGGCAATTATTCACTGTTAGAATAAATAAATAAATAAATAATGTCGTGATCAAAAAGGCGTCCATGATTAAACATAAAGAAAAAGAGATAACGATGACAAAAAATGAATATCAAGATGATAACGATAAGAAACTGACAATGATAGTGATAAGTGATGATGATAATCATTATAATGATGATGATTATTATTATGATAATATTGCTGATGATCCTGAAGTAGTCTAACTTTTATAGTGTCCGTTTTGAAATCCAATATTACCTCCATGATGACAATCTGGAAATGATATATTTCAAACACTATACTCCAAAAACATATAAAATGCCTACTTTGTCACTAGAATCATACATAATTTCGGACGCAGACATAGTTATTGTTCACAATAAAAGGAAATTCGTTTAGAAGTCACAATATGCACAGAATCTTGATTTTAATGGCTTTATTGAAAACCCAAAATAGCGCCTTTTTCTAGGCTGCTATTGTTTGGACTATTGTTTGGTAGGGCCTTCTAAGACCAAACTTGAGAGAGACTCAATTCTTTTAAATTGTTTTGCAGACAAAAGAAAAACAGAGGTTCATATTATTATAAGATGAGGACGTTCACAATGAAGTAATATACCTCTTTCATTCAATGTCATTACAGTTGTTGCTTCCTCCACTTTTCCCTGTAATCAAATAAAATTATAAAAAAACTAACTACCTTTATATGCATTTTCATAATAATATTAATAATAATAATAATAATAATAATAATAATAATAATAATAATAATAATAAATGATAATAATGATAACAATAATACAATTTGTATTTGTACAGACAGGCGGTTTGTAGTATCATAATAAAATCAATCAAAATTTGTATGCAGTCGGAGTGATGTTTTGCCCTACCTGACATATCATCATACATGTATATGTAATCACAATTTATAAACATTTTAGAAATGACAACAATTTCAGCAGAACAAATGAAAAAAGTTGTTTAGAAGAAATAAGTTCATGAAAAGAAACAACAGTAGGGACTATACAGAATAAAAAGGGTGAAGGATTATAAAAGTTATAATAATTATATAGAGTAAATTTGGTAATACAATATTTTTAAGAAATAACATTACCGTTAAAGATGATGCAGAATTGGATGATGTACTTTGTTTGCTTTCTGGCTGTTTCAATTTCTTCGCGATATTTTCTGCTATGGCTCCCTCTTTTATCTGCTTGGTTAATTCACAGACTAAACCACATAAATAATAAACATTAATTCAAAAACTAAGTTACATAACATTATACAAACAATTTCACAAAATAATAAATAAAATTGAGCTGAGCGTTTGGCTAATTTATATGCTTCCTCCTGCACTTCAGAGCCCGTGTTCGATACCCAGCTCTGTAACGAGTCTTTTAGAATAAAAAAAAAAACTCTGTGTGCCTCGAATTACCCTTTTGAGAGTTACGCGAGTTAAGGACCGTGTTTGTACCAGTCTGCATCGGTTTGATGTTTGTTTATTTAAGGGGAGGCTAATTATTAGCAACCAGTCAAATGACTATGTGGCTATCTTCGCTCCCCAGGTTGTGTAATGAACTTTCATTAAAATAAAGAAAAACAATTAACATATAAAAAAAATCATACAAGCACTCATCAAATACGAGGTTAATTATTATCATTTTTAATGATTTGAAATTGAGAATAGATGAATCAGTTAATTTGTTAATTAAATTTTTTTTATCATATACCATCTACATTAGTCGTCTCCCACTCGCTGCAGTCTTCACCAAATGTTTGAAATACTGTTGTTGTAACTATACCGTCGGTTGATTGTTCATTCTCATTAAACCTATTGACGAACAAAAACGGTGGTTGTAAGTATACGGTAATTAATTATTTTTGGTCAGTTAGCCACGAAAAATGGAAATTTCATAAAATATAAAATATAAATATATATATATATATATATATATATATATAATGAATTACATTATAATATATATACATATTTATATATATGTATATGTGTATGTATTTATATAAAAAATATATATGTATATATATAAGTATGTATATATGTTATAATGTATATACACACACACACACATATATACTGTCTCTTATACACATCTAGATGTGTATAAGAGACAGCGTCCAGACCGATTATAGCCACGAGTCGCCACAAATCGAACACAAACTTCTATGCTTACACTCAAATATTTCTTTATATATTACAATGTTTTGAAGTAAACGAATATTGCTAGTTAAACAATTTTTGAAACAATAGATCTGGTGGTTAATTAATCAAATCGGATGAAAGCGCGTACCAAGAAAAGAAGAAGCATTGGTTAGTTTTAAGTGTGTTTGTTTAACACTCAATACACGCTTATTCGGAGAGGTTCAGGAATAACCAAGGATCTAGTACGGTCCCCTGGAGAACGTCTGAGGCTACTATCACTATCCTATGCATGTTAATGAGAAATCCAGTCAAGGTCGCATCAATCTGGGCGCATAGTTAGAAAAGCTGTAATCCATGAATTGGTATTTCCTCTAATGCCTAAGGTGGTCATCTTTTTGCAATGAGGCGATGGTATTGGGGCTAAAGTCCATTATACAGTACAGAAATAAGCACGGCCACGACTATCAAGAATGTTTGTAAAGGTCATTTACCAAGCCATTTAGTTGGGTTTTACAAGATGTTGCCCACAACAAAGTCGACCATATGTTGCAAACAATTATTTTTCCTAAACTTGGGAAGGAGGTAAGCTTTCTCTTGTAAATACAAAGAAAAAATGTTTGTTAAGTGTTTCTATTTGGCTATTGCACCAGATACTATTCTTTCCATCGAAAATAGAGAGACACCGAAGACATCACGACGCAGGGCCTTGACATAATTCCAAAAGGTTTTGGCATTATCATATTAAAGACCGTCCCCAACATTACGTTCATTTTCTCTGTCTATCACTTTAACACGTCGATTTAAGAACAAATTGGTTAAAAATGTAAGCAAATCACAGAGGTAAATTTTTTCGATGATATTACAAATGATGTATGAAGTGAAGGAAAAAGTTTTCGAAGCGAACATTATAGAAAGTCTGTACTGCATGCTTTTTGCTCAAAGTAACAACATGAAGCTGACATATTTTAAAATACAAGCTACAAAAATTATTACTGTAATATAAAAAAAAATCTCGAAAAAGCAAAACAAGACCTCCTGTACTTACGCTTTTCCAAGGATGTGATTTACACAGGAGGTTTTTCCTACTCCTTCCTTCCCGAGAAACATGAATCTTGCATTAACTACCGATATTTCACCATTTTGCATTTCATATTCGAAGGCCTTGACAGCATTTTCGCCTCTGGCTAAAATTTCACCGGGCACTGACAGTTCTTTTTGATACAAAGTTCAAGAATTATTAATACATTTTAAATATCTTGTATTTGTTAATGTCATGTTAGTACAGTGTCTTTATATTAATATTTTCAAGTTCTAAATTTATTATTCACCTCGAAAAAAACGTTGGCAAAATAATCAAAATAATAAAGAGCATAATACAAACAAAAAATAATAAAGTCATTTAAAAAATGCGTAATAAAAGCTTTAGATTTTAGGTAAAACAGTTACAATAAACGAATATTCAGCAAGTCTTTAAGCTTACCTATAAGTAACTTTCGAAGTGATTGACATTTCTCTTCACTCGTGGTTTCTTCGTCTTCACTATATTCGGTATCATCATAAACATCAAGAGGCGTCTTTCCGAACTGCAATAACAAACACGATTTTGATTCATTTCATTTATGACAGTTGTAAATTAAACAAAATCACAGTGAAGTCGCAAGTAAATTCAACACTGTGATATATTATAGTTAAATAAATATAATAAAATAACATTGGTGAAAGTAATACATATGACAAATAACTAAACACTCTTCAAGAGCGTCGATGACTAATAGGCCTATCTTTGAAGCATTTTCGGTGACATTACCGCATTTTTTATCGATATTAAGGCACCATGCATCATTAAACACACTGCTGTGTCCCGATGTTCATCGTTATTATCTGATGCACATAGGCAGTAATGTAGTGGTGTTCGTCCAACCTGCAATGAAATTATAATCAATGTCAAGTTTGTTATACACGCACAACACAAGCATTAGCCTACGGAATAATTGAGAATAAACATAACTGAATGCTCATGTAAGAATATTGTAGACGAAAATATTAACGATAATTGTTATATAATCATAACAATTATTACAATAATTATAATATTACTAATAATAATAATTATACTTTAAGTAATAATGACAAATACAGATACAACAATAATAATATTTATATTATCAAAGGTATATATTAATTGATATATACTTTTATAATGATGATGATGGTAATAATAATAGGACTAAAAATATCAGTTCTAATTAATATAATTGTCCCCATACATAAAAAAGAATATTTCTAGACTAGAATGTGATGCTCTGAATGTGTTAGTGAGTGAATTAAAAATATTTATGTATGTTTATATTAAAAAACGTGTTGTTTCCTTTTACGGTACTCACGTCGTCTTTTACGTTGGCGTTCTTCGTTCTTTCTAACGCGCTTCTCAGTGGAGTCACGCGTGTTGTGAGCGCCAAGAAATGGAGAATGGTTGAACCACCAGTAGTTGCACCAACCTGGCGCTACAAGAAAAAAGTAGAATATTACAACAAGAAAATAATACGAAAGCCCATAAGTTCAAATCAAGTATATATTGTAATATGTTCGTACGGATTACTAATCCGATTGGCAGATTGCTAAATTCGTCTGTAAGGATTACTAATTCGTTTATACGGATTAAACTATTTGTACGGATTACTAATTCGTTTATACGGAATAATAATTCGTTTGTAATTAATTCGTACAAACGAATTAGTTTGACTATGTGCGTTACCTAGAGAGTTTGGCAAGGGTGCATGCGGGGCTATCTGTAGCCCCTGGGCTAATTAGACTACACAAACTAAAAGATAGGGGAACCAACTAATAGATTACACAGCTTTGTATGTATGCCCATGGTATGCCAAATTATATTTTATTTCATTCATTTTGGCATGAAACAAGAGATTTAATAGATTAACCAACTGTTAGACAATTACCGTTAATAGATAACCACACGTTGGAAAACACAGCTAAAAAAAAAAACCCGACTTTAAAACACAACTATTCATAAAAGTTAAAGCATAAAAGCTCAAATCTGGGTGTAATTCCTACGAAAGTTAAAGAAAATGCCAGTCTAATTAAATTTTGGTAATAATTGGCAATGTAGAAATTATAACAAGTTGTGTTGAAAAAATTATATCAAGCCATAGTGGATTTAAGTGCAATTAAGTTATATATTGACTTTTATATTTTTGTTATTTTTGAGGTCTTTGATGACAAAAAAAAATATTTAAAATGTCACAAGAAGAGAAAGAAATAAAGGTGGGTGAAATGCACACAAAAGAGAAAACAAAAAAACATTTTAAAAACACAGATAATAAAAGAAATAACTGTTACAAACAGCTAAGATGAATCATCTTTAAGACAATACAACTAATATGCCTGATAAAAAACTGTTTAACAACACTGTTAACTGATAACCTACAGATAATAGATGAATTAACTGTTAATAGATAACCATATGTTGGAAAACACAGCTATAAAAAAACCGACTTTAAAACACAACTATTCATAAAAGTTAAAGCATAAAAGCTCAAATCTGGGTGTGTAATTCCCACGAAATTTAAAGAAAATGCCAGTCTTCAATTAAATAATTGGCAATGTTTAACAACACTGTTAACTGATAACTACAGATAATAGATGAATTAACTGTTAATAATAATAATAATAATAATAATAATAATAATTACATCTAATAAGGCGCACATATCTATCTCAATAAACTGTTCGAGGTGTTATTTTCACATGCAGGTAGCAGCATCCTTTTCTGTATTTTCCTATTTTATTTTATTTATTTATTTATTTTTGTTTAAATAATATTTCTTATTTAAATACTTATTATCAACTTAACTAGAGGTAAAACAGGAAAAAAGAAATGTAAAATCTCGCAGGTCATCAGTCTATTACCAGGCTATCCCGTTCCCGAACCTCCACCAGGTGGCTTGAACAAGGAACGGGAAACACATTTGCCCTGCCACAGACTAAAGCTCGACAATCGGAAAAGCGAGCCATAGGGGTCATGTCAAAAAAAAAAAAGAAGCAAAGAAAAAAAGGGGGCCGTTTTAATTCATTTATTTATTGAAGTAAGATAAAAATACAGAAAAACTTTCAGTTTTGACTTGAACACACTAAGAGTAGACCAGTAGCTAATGAACTGTTAGACCTACTTACAATTGGCTAAAACAATTTTCAAAAATTAATTGGAAATTCCGATTCTGACCTCTGGCATGTTTCAAGGCATATTCCTATCTCTGTAGACCTACCTAAAGGTTCAGAAACCTGATATTGATTTCAAATTATTCATTTACATTTACATTTCTGTTTTCTGTATCAGTATATTAGGCCAAACCTATACCAGAATTGGTATAGGCACTTAATTCTCACACACTTATTCATAGTGTTGACAATAGGGTTCTTATATCCTGGTAATCACTGGTCACAGGAAGTTTCTTTTTGTGTCAAATTGCTCAAAATATATATTGTATTTTTATTTGACCTACTTTAGTTTAAAATGGAAATGCACATACTGACCACCTTTAACCTACAAAAAAATGCATTTTTATGTTTCTGTAATGACTAGTTTTAGAGTCTTGATTTTTGTCTAACTTAGTCAATAGACAATTCAAATTAAGATCAAAGAAAGTCGGATGTAAATAAATATTTTGTACAAAAGTGACCGGAAGTACTGATACCCAGCTCGGACCAAAAGTTCAAGGCACTTTATATCTCTGTAACTACTACAGTGTAATGTATATACATAGGGGCGAATCCAGGATTTGAAGAAAGGGGGTTAAAGATTAAAAAGGGAAAAAAAAGAAAGGGGGATCCGGGAAAATGTTGATCCCAAATGAGCTTTCCCGACATTTTAAGGGTTTTTTACTTACTTTTAAATTCGTTAAAATTTAAGGTTTTACCTATTCAGGGTCATGAGAGTTTATCCTTATTCTTACATAGTAAGTAGTTTGTAATTAAACAAGCAAGCCAAGCAAGTAAATACACACACACACACACATTCTCGGTATAATAACACAGCAGAATGTCCCGGGTTCGAATTCAGTTCGGGCACCTATTTTTTCGCACTCGCAGATTCATCTTCTTAAACGTATTAACATTTATTTGCATATACTGTATATTTGAAAACGTGTGTCAAAAGTCAGGCATTTCCGGTATTTTTGTTACAAAATGATCCATTAAATTAAATATAAACTGTATACTGCTAGATCAACATCAAGTCACTATAACTAGTAGTTATGGCGATATGCTGTAATTATGTTGCGGATCAAAAGTTGCTATGGAAATTTCTGGTCCTTCTTTTATACAAATATCAAATTGGGACAAATATAAAAACATGATTCTTTGACCTCGCTTAACAAATTTCTGAAGTTATTCTCTAGACCTCAAATTGCATAAAAAACCTGACATGACTTCTATGGTTAAAATTCAAATGCTGAACATAAATCACTGTTAAAATTAATGTTACCTTGTTTATTTTACTCTTATTTATAAATTATGTGTGTTTAATTTGTACACATAAAATACAATGATATTTAATTAATTCTACTAACCCTGTATTCTAAATTCTCTTGTGTTGCTTTCTCAATCATATTCTGCATTATGTCGTCTGGTGCGTGGTACACTGCAGCATAAATTAATGGCGTCTCGTAGTCCTACGGAAAGAAATATTGAATACTCAGTACACGACGGTAGCAACATAAAACTATAAAATACAAACAATAAAATATTGTACATTTTCATCACATTATACTGTATCAATCAACAGTAATAATTGAAGAAAATCAATCAAATTGAAAATCAAGTTTAAAAAAAAAATTATACCAAAGGACGGTGTCTACATCGTCCTTGAATAGTGTTCAATTACTCTACACAAAAGAGCATGCAACTTTGGAAGATCAGACGTAAAAATGTTACCTAAATATCCTGAACATAAATCGGTACTGGATTTATAAATCTGGTGTTGCACAGTACTCCCAATTTGAATTAGGGCCTGGCTAAGGCCTGGGCGTAGCACTAGGACTAGGCCTAGAGCAGGTCCTGTAGCAGTCGGTCCCACGTATCGTTTTTGTTTCGTTTATTCAATCATTAATATTATTATTATTACCGCCTTTACAACTGGTTACAAATGAATAAGATATAAATAAACAAGAAATTCTTTTACGGAATCGTTTTTTAAAATTTTATTGGTTTTTAAAATTTGCTACATCATTTTCAAGTTGGCGAAAAAAATTTCGGCCAAAGAAAATTTTGTAGGATATACTAAACTACTGGACGCTATTCAATGTATTCTTGTTTACAGATGATTCTCCGCCAAGAATGGGGTGACAGTGCATGGATTTATGGACAGTGGACAATCATGTCTCCTAGTCTGTACAATGTATACATAGATAATCTTAACATTGAGCTTAGTGAAAGCTGATATGAATATACCGTCTATGAGAAGGTTATGAATAATTTTATTTATGCTGATGAAATCACTTTAGTAGCTTATTAAGTCATTTTATACCACTGTGTACTGTAGCACCTTGTATAACTAACCTGGTAAAACTAAGAAATCCCTTGAAGTTTGTGAAGTTTGCAATAAT